TTTTTTTGAGCTCGGTAGATGCCTTCGTGAAGTTTTTTTGCGTTGTCCGAGATTAAGTGCGTGCAGGCTGGGTGTGCGGCGAGGAAGCGGCGAATTGTCAGCATCGTCTGGGGGCCCGATAGTGACGGAACGGCTTCCAGGTGAACCGCCCGGATCGCGGCGCACGTGAAAAGCGCGATGTAAGTCTTCCTGGGACCTTCGCGGTGACGAGTGTGAAACGGTCCACAGAAGTCCACGCCCGCGGCGGCGAACGGCGCCTGGAACTCTGTCCTGAACTCGGGAAGAGCCCCCTCAATCTGTTGAGCGTGGCGACCTTGGCGGCGACGGCATACTACACATCTGTGGAGGACGCTCTTAACGAGCTGCCCTGCACGTGTTATCAAGAACTTTTCTCTGAGATGCATGAGGATTACATTGGCTCCGAAGTGGGCATTGATTCGGTGCGCGTCAATGACGAGGAGTCGGGCTAGCCTAGACTCACCGGGAATGACCACGGGATTCATCTGATCGTAAGTAGAGATCACGCCGGTCAGCCGCGTTCGCACGCGCAGTATGTTTTGCTCGTCGATGAAAAGCTGATGGGCTGCCAACTTCGACGACGACGACGGGCGGTGTCCCGCCTTGGTGTCCGTGATCTCCTGACGTAGGAACTGTTGCTGACATTCACGGACGATGTGTGCTTCCGCCCTGCGATGCAGCTCGATGGGTTCTGGAAGTGTTTGGCGACGGGTCCTGGCGATAAACTGGAGGACGGAGCCCATTGTCCGGATCGCACGGCCGGCGGTACTGAGCCGGTCGAGATCCACCAACGGCTCCGAGAGCACCACGGGAGCAACCACCTTTCGCGTTTCATCGCTTACTTGCTCGAACGATGAGCTTTCAGTTCGAGGTTGCGAGATGGGCCACCTTTCACGAGGCGACCTTAGCCACGAGGGACCGAACCACCAATCGGAACAATTGATCAGTGACTCGACCGATATACCACGTGTGGCGAGGTCGCTCACGTTGCTGGTCCCCTGGACGAAGAACCATTGGTCCGGATTTGAGTGCTTCTGTATCTCTAAGACACGGTTGTTGAATGGCTTCCAGACGCCAGGACGAACCAATGTCGCCCAATGATATGTGATTCTGGAGTCCGTGTAGTAGCACAGAACGCATAGAACGAAACCTGGAGGACTAGATGCCGGCCGCGAGGTGTTGGTCTTGATTTTGCTCATCACCTCTTTGAGAACGCTGATGTAATCTGTCGGGTCCACCACTACACTTCCGGGCTCATCTTTCAAGCCAGGCGGCAGAGTGACGTTCTGGCCATAAACAAGCTCAGCGGGTGATGCGTGGATATCTTCTTTTGTAGTTGCTCGGAACCGCAAAAGTACAAGCGGAATGAATTCACTCCAACTCGTTTCAGCGAAATGACAGCGAAACGCATCCTTTAATTGGCGGTGAAATCTCTCCGTTGCGCCGTTGGCCCTCGGAATGTAGGCTGGAGTCCATATTCTATTGCAATGCATCAGCTCGCAGAGGTTGTTGAAAAGACGACTCTCGAACTGTCTTCCCTGATCCGTCGTTATCGTATCGGGAACGCCAAAGCAGGCAATCCACGGCGCAATAAAAACGGATGCGACTGATGGAACCGCTTCAGGCCAGCGTGCAAGCCGATCCACCATCGTTAAGATGCATCTGCTGCCACTCGACGGCGAGAAAGAACCGACTAGGTCGATGGGTACATGAGACAAGCGTGCTCTCGGCATGGAAATGATCTGCGGGCTCGTTTCGATGTGGCGAGTGGGTTACCGTTCATTTGACCGAATCCATGTGACCGAAGCCATTTGACCGAAACCACTTGACCGAAGCCACTTGACCGAAGCCACTTGACCGAACCCACTTGACCGAATCCACTTGACCGAAGCCGTTTGACCGAATTTATGTGTTCGCTCAGCTCGCGTCACGCGGGAGTAACATAGGTAATCGAGTTCGAAAACTCGAGACTGATCCAGGCGAGCGTGATTCAATCGAGCTCACACCGCATTGGAACCCGGATGAGAGTTCCATCTGAGATCCAGCTGAACGTAACTGAGCCAACGCCTCGTGGCCTCGCGGAGTCAGAATCTTTGTAAGGCTCCGATCGGAAGCATTCGTTCGTAGAGAGGAGCGAAATGTGGTTGGATATGCGGAGCCGACGAGCTCTCAGCTATAGTGTCGTAGTTTAAGGAAGATTCGACTGACGCTGAGGTGGTTGAGAAAGCCTTGACTGAGTGCGAGTGTGGGCAGCTTTCCTCCTGGATTACGTCTAGGTTGTTCCCGTAACTGTTTTTGTACCAAGCACGCATCGGGAGCACGGTTGTACCTTCGTTGCAGAACCCGAAGTGCCTCATAAAATGCAGACCAGGCTCGAGCGTAGCGAGAATCGGTCTCAGAAAATTAGTTCATGCACAGAGCCCGAAAAAATTTGGATAGCAAAATAGCGGAACCGTCGCGCTCTCAGTGAAGTGGGAGCACTCCTATTCGGTCAAACGGCTTCGGTCAAGTGGATTCGGCCATGTTGCTTCGGTCAAGTGGCTTCGGTCAAGTGGCTTCGGTCAAATGGATTCGGTCAAGTGGCTTCGGTCATATGAATTCGGTCAACAGGGAAGTCACCGCTATTGTGGGCCAGAAGTAGAGGTTACCGAGGAGCTTCTTCATTGGACGCTTGCTCAAATGACTGACGTTGTGGTACTGCTCGAATACATTACGTCTGAACACAGCAGGAACGTGTAACCGATGACGCGAACCTGAAGAATCGTAAATGAGACATAGGTTGAGCGAGATGTTGATCGGCGAAAGGGTTTTGGGCGCCTTCAGATTCGCCAATTCCTGATCTTGCCTCTGGGCCGAATACATTTCCTCAACGGTCCACGGAGCTGGAACTTGGCGTATGACAGCGTCGACCTGGTTGTGTCGCGACAGCGACGACGTTGTCGGAACCTCTCACATGCTGGATATCTGTTGTAAATTGCGAGATTATTTCCAGGTGATTGGTCTGCCGTGGCGACCTTTCCGTACTCGAGGTGATTGCCGTAGTGAGCGGTTTGTGATCCGTAGAGTTGCGATATGAGAGGACATTTCTTTCCCAAAAAATGACGATGTTCGCGCGGACATCGGGACGGCGAGCAGACATCGAAAGCGGACACTCTATCCCATGTTTTTCGCCCTTTCCATGGAATGGATTCGACTCTCCAACCATTTTCCTGATAAGCAACAATCGAAACTTCGATGCCATAACGATCGCTCAGAGACAATTTGCTGAGTGAGAAGAAAATTCCCGACCCAGCCCCCGGCGCCTCTGGCTCACGCCTGTGCAGCCGAGACCTGGGTGCCCTCGGCGAAAAGATAGCGCAGAAATTCAATTTTTATCATCGAATTTAGCGGTATTCCCTCTAAAATTCCGGAAAGCGTACATTTCCGAGAAAACCCCAAAAAGCGGTCAAAGCGGACAAAAGAGGACGTGTCCTCTCATATCGCAACTCTAGTGATCGGTGCACACCGTGAACTGGCGACCCTCAAGCATGAAACGAATATGTTTGATCGCGAGCACAATGGCCAAGAGCTCTCTGTCGAACGCTGAATACTTTTTCTGAAGCTGGTCCAGGGCTTTCGAAAAGAAGCCGAGAGGCAGTACTGTAAGACAGCACCAACAGCTGCATTTGAAGCGTCGACAGTCAGTAGAAATTTTGCATGGCCCTCTGGAAACGTGAGCCTGGTGAAATTAGCCAGCGCTGCCTTCGATTTGTCGAAAGCTCCCTGCGCTGTCTCTGACCACACGAGAGTTTTGCTGTTGGTGAGGGCGTACCGTGGAATGAGTATTTGAGCGATGTATTTGATGAAGCGTCGGTAGAAATTGATCATACCGAGAAAGCGCTGTAGTTGATGGACGGAAGTGGGGGTCGGAAGTTTACAGATGGCATCGACTCGATCAGGGAGCGGAGAAATTCCATCAACCGAGACCAGGTGACCGAGGAACTTCAGTTCAGTAACAGCGAATTCGTACTTAACTGTGTTGATGACGAGACCGAAAGACTGAGGACGACAAAACAGCTGTTTGAGATGAATCAGATGTTCTTCATCGCTGTGCGATGCAACCAGGATGTCGTCAAGATACACGAACACGAAATTCAAGCTTCGTGTGCCAAGGTCCATGAAACGTTGGAAAGACTGAGCTGCGTTACGGAGGCCGAACGGCATACGAAGGTACTCGCACAGCACAAATGGTGTGCAGGTCTAGTGGATGTCTTCTTCTGCCATCGGAATCTGATGAAAAGCCTTCGTTAGGTCGTCGGAGCTAAATACAGAGAATGCGGAGTTCTCTAGATGTGGGACTGGGTATCGATCCGGCACCGACATCGCGTTGAGCGCTCTGTATACTCCGACTGGGAACCACGTTCCATCCGACTCCGGGACCATGTGTAACGGCGGAGCGAATGAACTTTTCGACCTCCTGATGTTGTCTTTCTCTAGTTGAAGGAAATGAGATTTCGCGATGGCTATTGCGATCTAACCGGCGAACACGGCACGTCACAGGACCACCTTTCGTCCCAATATGATGGAATGTCGTCGATGGCACCTTCTGAGTCGGGGGTGTCTTACCTATAACCCCAGGAAATGACTCCAATAGGTTCGACACCGAAAGCGAGATGGGACAGTCCACGACGCTCATGCCGACTGATGGGTGTTCTATGGCGGAACATTTGCTAGTGCGTGGAGTGGTGAGATCGATGAGGTGTCGGGATCCGAGATCTGGTGCTGAATTGAAATGAGAAAGTAGATCGGCTCCGATGATGAGTTGTTGGATGTCTGGGAGAATGAAGGGAAACTCGAATTCTTCACCCAGGCTCAAATCCAGAATGAGAGATCTGCTGCCAAAAGTCCTGATAGGGGTGTTGTTGGCAGCATGCAGAGTAACTTCGCTGGACGACGAACAGCCGGGGTTATCAAGTGGCATACTGGGAAGGTCGCTGCCCGTGCCAATGAGAAACTTGCGGTCTGTGAGTTTGTTGATGATGAATAATCGTTGCGACGAGAGGTCAGCTCGAAGGACCGCGACCGAGCCGACCGCCCTTCGTTTTTTGATGATCTCGAGCGGCGTGAATCGATACGTTGAATTTCGAGCAGCCTTCCACACATTTCTCCGCTCTGCCGCCGAATCTCGCGTGATACTTGCAGAGTAGTAGATGCTTCTGGTGAGACTGACCCTTGAATTTACGTGAGACTGCGGCTACGTGATCGTGAACTGACTGTTGGGAATCCGCGAGGATCCCAGTGAGCGTTAGCTCACAGAGCAGGTGCTCAGTCGGCAGGAGTCCGCTGTCCGGAGTTTAGAGTTGTTACGGCACAATGTTCAGATGATTCCCGAGGGTCGAGGGCTGGTAGGTAAGGTGCTTCTCGAGAATGAGGACGCAAGGATTGCGTGTGGCAGAAGAATCTGTATCTGATGTTTATTTCAATGTGTCTTATATACCGTCCGGGTTTCATAGACCCTTACAGTGGAAAAAACGGAAGGAGTTCTCCAGAAAAAGACTATTCAGTATTTTTCTGTATCAATTAGATCAGGGTTTCCAGGCTTACATATCCAAGTACTATTATCATGTAAACAAGTGTAATTAACTCAAAAACACTGACTTCCGGAAAACTTTTGAGGCAGTAATGGAAATGGCCCTGTTCACAGAAAGAGAGGTGATTTCCCAACATTTTCTCCCTTACTGCGGAAAGTTTTGAGGAAGTGTTCGAACTCCGATCATGGTACATTGGTAACCTATATATATGCTCAGTTTTTCTCCAGTGGGTATCCGATCCCTCTTGTTGAAGGATAGTCATGTCTCGACGATCGCCGTCTCCTTCTGGAAGCTGGGACCCTAGAGAACTTCCTCCCATGGATGAGTCTGAAGCCGAAGTGTAACCCGTTGACCAGAGCGCTGGTGCTGCTGCTTGTCCGATTGTGATTGAGGAAGATGCTTTGAAGATGCTGCCTGATCGTCCTCAGGTTCTGGCTGTTCGTCCTCGAAAGCGACGATCCAGGAACGGATTCACACAATTTGCACTCATGGTTCAGCGCAGGGACAGGCTTCGTTTTCAGCAAGCCATCGATTTTGCTGGACTCATCTGGCCAGACATGGATGCTGAGGCTCTTCGTCCGTATTGTGAGCAGGCTATTCGAGAGCGCTCACCTCCCAGGCCTTGTAACCTCCCGGAATGAGTTGCTCGCAGGGAGCAAGTGGAGAGGTTAATCCCTGAGCTTTCTGCCAGTCTGGAAAAACTGACCAAATAAATTCATTGTCTGCAATTGGTATGAAAGGGGGTGCTTATTCCAATGAGACTCTGTATTTTACCAAACCACTGTTTCTTGAGGGAAACGTAAAAAAGGGAACAGGAAAAAAAGACGAGAAATGGGAAATACGACTCGACCGATGCTCGCAATAAAGACCGCGAAGACGAGCGTGAGCTATCTGTTGATATTTTGAGTGGTTAAAGTATTGTAGTGCTGATGTTAAAGTCAACACTCAGGTTTCGTTGGAGCAACTGTTCGTGGTTCATTCTCGGAGCGAAGCGTCGGGGCTAAGGTAGAACCGCCATGCTCTAGCGCGCGAGTAGAAATGTCATCTCTGGGCACATGCCCGTCTTCCTCTAGACCAGC